AACTAGGAGAGTGGGAACAAGTGCTATGGAGACAGTGTCTCATAATGGCTAGCTTCTACTGAGGGTGCCATCAGAGTTAGGTGAGTCTCATTCAGGGTCTATGGAACTCTGAATGTTTCAGGAAGCCCAGGAGCTCTTGATATTTTAAGTTAAATTAGGTTTAAATGTAGCATTTTCTTGGGACTAAAACTGTCATTTTATTTATTATTGTTATTATTAATTATTATGATTATTATTGGGTTTTGAACCACACCTGGTGATTCTCAAGAGTTACTTTTGGCTTTGCACTCAGGAATAACTTTTTGGTGCTCAGGAGACCATATGGGATGCAAGGGATTGAACCTGGGTAAGCCACATGCAAGACAAACGCCTTACCCACTATCACTCCTGGCCCTAAAACAGTCATATTAAAAAAAATTCTCAAAGGGGTCTGAGCAGTTAAATGCATTGTGTTTTGATAACCATGTTGGCTGCGTGTAAGGCAAATGCCCTACCACTGTGCTATCGCTCCATATCTATATGTCCATTATGCACTCTAGCACTGTCCTCCTGTTGTTCATTGATTTGCTCGAGCGGGCACCAGTAACATCTCCATTGTGAGACTTGTTGTTACTGTTTTTTGGCATATCAAATACACCACGGGGAGCTTGCCAGGTTCTGCCGTGCGGGCGGGATACTCTCAGTAGCTTGCCAGGCTCTCCGAGAGGGATGGAGAAATCAAATCCAGGTCGGCCACGTGCAAGGCAAATGCCCTATCTAAATATAAATTACCAAGAAATTTGAGTTAGACTAAAAACAAAAGTTTTATATGATAGTTTTGTCTTCATACAGTAGGTCCTGATTTTGCCATTAATTTTAAGAGAGTAGAATAAGAAAAGAGAAAATAAAATAGAGTTTAGTTGGATTCATAATTTGGTTACAATTATTTCATATTTTTATTCTATTCATATAAAATTCCTGCAAAGAAATACCTTGAATAAAATCTCTATTTTGATCAGATAAAAAGTAGAGAATTGAAGTAGTTGTCTTCTTGGTTTAAAATTATTACATTACATTTGTCATTAAATGAGATGTACAGTCCAGGAATTTCTAAAGTACCATCCCTTCAGTTCTTTCTCCCTTCCACCATGATTATCTGCTACCTCTGACTTTGCATCATATTTTGAAATTGATCCAAGTTTCTCACTTAACATTATGCCACGTGAGTTTTTTTCAATAATCGACTTCTTCATGTAAGAGAACTTTCCTTGAAGTCTATATTTTTAAATAGAATTAGTACAATATCAATTGTATTATGCAATGCTATGTCTATTTTGTTGTACATAAATAGAAACTATATGAAAAGCAAAAATATAACTAAAAATGAGAAAAGTGTTTAAAAATCACATCATAGGGCCGAATATCTAGACATATAAAGAACACTTACAACTCAGCAGTTAAAAATGAATAGCCCAAGGCTAGAGAAATAGTACAGCAGGTAAGGCAGTTGCCTTGCATGCAGTTGACCTGGGTTCAAACTCTGGAGGTAGTATATGGTTCCCTGAGCACTACCAGGAGTAATCCTTGAATTAAAGGGCCAGGAGTAAGCTCTGAGCACCACCAGGTGTGGCCCCAAAAATAATAAATAAATAAACACATTTAATAATGGCTAAAAGATTTAAATGAACATTTTACCAAAGAAGCTATTTGTATGCTCTATAAGTACATGAAAAGATCCTTTGGGTCAGAGATAGCTCGTAGAGTGCTTGGCTTGTATTCAAGAAAACCAGATTCAATCTCTGGCATCTCAAAGAGTTCTCCAAGCACCACAAGAAGTGGTCCCTTAGCACAGCTGTTTGTGACCCAAAGACAAAAATAAAACAAAAAGAAAAGATGTTCAACATCATTAGTCATTAGGGAGAAACAAACAAGAACCATGATGAGAAAGCACTTGACACACAGTATGGGTAGATTTAAAAAACGACAACAACAACAACAACAAAAAAACAAAACAGAAAGTAACAAGTGTTGGCAAAGATGTGGAAAAATTGAAAACTTCATATGTTAATGATGGGAATGTAAAATGGTGCAGCCACTGTGGAAAACTGCTTGGCAGCTGCTCAAAAAGCTAAAGATAGAGTTACCATATGACCCAGAAATTCTACTCTTAGGTATATACCCAAGAGAAATGAAAACATATGTTCATGAAAAAATAACTCATACAGAAATGTTCATAGCAGCACTATTTATAATAATCAAAAAAAGTAGAAACAACCCAAGTTTACGTCAACTCACATATACGTAAATAAAATGTGTATATTTTTACAATGGAATATTATTTGGTCATAAAAAGTAATTAAGCACTGATAAATGCTATCAAGTGGAGAACCTTGAAAACCTAATGCTAAATACAAAGAGCCAGAAACAAAGGCCACAATTTGTCTGATTACTTTTATATGAACACCTAGAAAGAAAACCAGTTGAGACAGAAAGTGCATTGGTGGTTGCAAGTGGCTGGAAAAGAAATAAATGGGGAAGGTATGGGATTTCTTTCTGGGGTAATAGAGTGTTCTAGAATTATATAATGGTGAAATCTGGACAACATTGTAATATGTTAAAAGCCTCTGACCTGCACGATTTTAAAAGTTGAAAATGGTAAACGGTACTTATAACAAACCGCTACCATTTTCAACTTTTAAAATTGAATCTAATAAAAATGCAAAATAATTGCTGAGTGACCTTAGCTTTAGTCCCAAAATAAGACTATCATGAAACTTAAAATATTTTTTCCATAGTCCTTGCAAAAGTCAAACACTTTAGAATAGACAGAATGCCCTCTCCCCACTGGAAAAAGTCCAAGTTCTCTCTTGAACTCATCTCTCTCACTCCCCTTCCCACCCCCTTGTCATGTTTCCCTAAATAAAAATATTTCACTTCAAAACATAGACTGAAATGTCCCCACCATTTGAGGTTATTATATATAGTCCAACCTATTGGAGCGATAGCACAGCGGTAGGGTGTTTGCCTTGCACGCAGCCAACATGGCCGACCCGAGTTCGATTCCTCCGCCCCTCTCAGAGAGCCCGGCAAGCTACCAAGAGTATCTCGCCCCCACGGCAGAGCCTGGCAAGCCTGGCAAGCTCCCTGTGACGTATTCAATATGCCAAACACAGTTACAACAAAGTCTCCAATGGAGACGTTACTGGGCCCGCTCGAGCAAATCGATGATCAATGAGAGGGCCTTTACCTTTACCTTTAACCTACTGAAAATTCAGGCACGTTCGTAAACAAAATATTAGTATGCATTAGCTTAAAGAGAAATGTCTGAAATTCGGGATAAATAAAATGACAAGTAATTTTTCTAAAGTCTCTTCAAATTTATTACAAGTATACCCAAACTTAAAATTCACTGGGAGTGATGGTAGAGAATAAGGAGTATGAGAATCCAAACTGCTAACTTCTATCCACCTTTGTTTCTTCCAGAAGGAAAAGCTAAGCTTTGGTCATTGAGACAGTTTGAAATTCTTTGGAATTTCATTTGTCTTGGGGTTGAGCATTTGCATTTCCGTTTGGGAAATCAAATACCCTACAGTTTCGTACACACAATATTTCTGCTTGATACCCAAGAAAACTCATTTTTTTAAAAAAAATTAATGTTCATATCACACTGCAGGAGAAAAATCTGTCTGTTGTGGAAGAGGAGGTTAAAAGCAGGCTGATAACAGTGCTAAGTAACAAAAAAAATGCCCTGGTCTTGGGAATTCCCCCTCTACACACACACACACACACACACACACACACACACACACACACTCCCCCAAGTAGGTCTCCCTGAGTACAAAAGGGAATATGAGTGTGTGCCCATCTCCTTTATTATCTCTTTCATAGTTTCATTCCCAAATCACAGAAGTTCTCTGAGTGACCAGCACAAACAGCAGCTATAGAATTTTTTTAAGGTCCAGTGCAAAGTAGCGATGAGCAGTGCCCGTTCAGAAATTATTAAGAATTTCCAAAAAGGTAACAGCCAAACATCCATGTAGTGACCGCAAGCATCATAAACCCGTGGTCTGCTGGAGAGAGTTTGATCACACAGGAAACTCCTGGCCCACCCCTTCATCTCCTTCTTGTGCTGACAGGCGAGTTGTTGCAATGCCCAATCCTCATTTCCTCACCTGAAAGGGGAGGCTGATTACGCCCCATCTCTTGCTGTTGCCAGGGCTGGTTTTGTTTGTTTGTTTATTTGTTTGATTTTTATCTCCAACAGAGTAGTATTGTCTAATCTGCTTTTCCAGAGGGAGGGGAATGCTCTGCATTTTGCATGGACGTGCATGGCAGGAAAGCCATTCGGTGGATTAACTCTGAGGTCCCTCAAAGATGAAGGGAAAGGGGCGAAGAGGGGTGCACCTCCTCTCATCTCCAACGTGACACACTTTGCCTTGCTCTGTGTTTTTATTAGCTCCTATCCTCAGTACATCAGTGGCAAGGGTGATGAAACTGGTGGCAGATTTAACTGCCAGGCAGCTGGGTCACTGTCCCGTGGGTCTTGTTGTCATGCTGAGATCTTAAAGTGACCACGGCTGTTTGGGCTGCTGCTTTCCAAAAGACTCGGAGAGAGACCACTGAATAGTTAATCTGCAGAACGGGGAAGGAAGAGGCTGTTGCTTGCAGAAAGCAGAGAGAAGCTGCTTTGAAAAATCCCAAGGTGGCTGAATATCAAGAACACGGCTCCTGCTGTGGGCAGCTGTGTGTGCGAGGGCAGCCTGGGGGCTTAAAATCAAATCTCCAGCAAGGATTGGTGCCCTTCTCCTGGGACTTTGGCAGTGGAGGCAGAAGACCTAACCACTGCAAAATGAAGAATCCCTTAATACTGTGGCATGAGGGGTATCATCTACAGTTATCTTTCAGTATTGTTAGCAGCCTCAGTGAATAATGTTTTCAACGAAGGGGAAAGCAGAAAGAGTGCAAAGGAGAACAAAAACAGGATGACTTATTTACCAGGAAAGAAGTGTGGGCCGCCTTACCTGAAATCTTCTCATGTCCCTTGGGTTTCCTGCTGTTTTCAAACAATTCTGATTGCACTTGAGGAAAAATTTTAAAAAGAATCTGTGAAGAGAAAGCAACGTGTTACATTTTTAAGTAAACAGTTTTTTAAGAGAGAACATATCTGCATTATATTAGATGTGATTTGAAAGTGATTGTGTTTCACGTCTGGGGAATTTCAGCCAGGCCTGCCCGAGAAGGAGCACTGACCGTTTGCAATTTGCAAATGTGGATATTTTCAATCCAAGTCCCTGGCCTCTTGTGCAGTCATGGCTGTTGAGAGTCCTGAAATGGGTCCCAAGGTGGTTTGCACACCCACTGGTCGACTGGCCAAAGTTGCTAGGGCATGAAGGAAGAAAGGAAAGAAGGAAGGAAGGAAGGAAGGAAGGAAGGAAGGAAGGAAGGAAGGAAGGAAGGAAGGAAGGAAGGAAGGGAGGGAGGGAGGGAGGGAGGGAGGGAGGGAGGGAGGGAGGGAGGAAGGAAGGAAGGAAGGAAGGAAGGAAGGAAGGAAGGAAGGAAGGAAGGAAGTTCGTTTAAAAGCAGCTCTGACTCATGCCATGCAAAAATGTCTTGCTGGAGGGTTAAAAAAGGGACCTGTGGTGGTGGGAAATGGGCACTAGTGGAGGGATGGGTATTTGATCATTGTATAACTGAAACCCAAGCACAAAATTTGTAAGTCTACAACTGTACCTCATGGTGTCTCACTAATAAAAATTTAAAAAAAAAAAAGGTCAAAAAAAAATGACCAGCCTTAGCCCTGCCATAACCCAGGCTTTCAAAGATTCTCGTGCATGTGGCTTCCCATCAGCCATATGCCCTCTCAACCTCCAAGCCTCCCGTGCACACCTTCCCGCACAAAAAGGGCCTGATACTTAACCCATGTAGAAAACCAGAACATGGTTTGTTCCCCTCCAAAGACAGTCGGACTCTGCAAGAGTCCACTGGGGGTTTACACCAAGTTCGAATGTCACTTTCAGATGGTGTCTGCAGTTACCCAGTAAAACAGGCACAGAAAGAGGGGCAGAGGTTATTTTTCTGGAAGACCTAGTTTTTAAATCAAAATTCTAAATCATTCATTTGTGCAAGTTGAAAAGCAAAGCATTTTTCATCAGACCAGTCCATCAACTAAGAAAAATGGCGTCAATGCCCTTTCCAGCCATTTTCCTATTTAATGTTGGCATTTTGTCTGAAAATACAATAAGTTTTTCATTTATTTCACTTGCAGAGTCCTTTTCCTTAAAAAAAAAATCCAGCTTTTGCAGTGTTAAAGTCCCAGGTGAGCTAGGCCTATTTCCCTTTCTGTTACTATGACAACGAAATTTTACCGCAGTCCCAAAGTCCCTTCAGAACTCTCACATCCATGCCTTGAATTAGAACTTTAAAGGAAAAGATATACATTTTTTCCCCAAGATTTGCCAACAAAAATAAGTAGAAATCAACAATGCCTCCAAAAATTCTATTTTAAAGCAACAGTGCTTCACTGCGATTTCCAGTTTATTTAAAAAATTTTAAAACAACCACACAAAAGAAGGAGCAAGCACTCAATTAATTGTGTTGATCACTTTAAAAAAAAACACTGATGAGAAAATAAATAGTAGAGGTGAAAAGAGGGGAGAAGGGGAATTGCACTCTTCAGAATGTTTTCTGTATTCACGGCTCTGTTACACTAGATTTGCGAAAAATATTTTGCCAAGTGTCCCTGACCCCAACTATCAATAAGGTTGGGTGTGAATTTGGAAATAACAGCTAAATATTTTTTCCATTATTTTATAACATCTGTTGTCCGCCTCCCCCAGCCTTTTATTTTTTTTCCCCATCTTTTCTGGGGTGGGAGGTGAGGAGGAGCTTCCCAAATCAGGAAGGTGGTTTTTCATCGAAATGCCTCTGGATGACAAGGGGAAGAGGGAAAAAAAAACCGCGTCCATCCAAGCGGCTTCAGGCGGTTTTCAAATTTACACCCTGCTTCTGCTTTCTCAAGTGCCCTGCAATGTCTGCCCAGAGCAACTCAAATGCATCCTCAGAAAGAGCTGCTTTTATTTAAGAAAAGATTGATCTGAATTCCAACACTCTCTTGTTTGAAGGGGGACACTTGCTTGCCATCTCGAATCCTATAGCAGAATCAGCCCCGGCCACAAAGGACCACAGGCTACTTCCACTTGGCTTTTCCTCACTCAACTTTCTTTCCAAACAATAGCCCTCAGAGCCCCATCCCAACACCTCCCCCCATGAATGTCCATCTTTCCCCCTACTAAAATCTGATCAACTGCTTGCTTTTTTGTTTTTTTGTTTTTATCTTCACAAATGCCTTGATTTGGGGGAAAGTTATGTCACACCTGGGCTCCTTAGAATGCATTCTGAGCTGCCTACCTCCCTTCCCCCACTCCTCCCAGCTCCAAAATATATCTGGTGAAAACATTAATGTTCACGGAGGCATTATTATATGAATGGCGAGGTAGATGGAGATAAATGTTTACATAAAATCATTTCCCTAAAATTGATTTAGGGAAACAAGGGGCCTGCTGAAAGGCTTTATTCGTTTTAAATTAGCACCCTTAATAGGTCTTCAGATGGAAAATATCATTTCGACTTTTGCTGGCTTCAAAACTGAGTTCATAACCTACACTGCCTCTGCACACCAAAGATAAAATATTCTGGTCACGAAGAGAAAGAAGCAGAAGGTGGGAGAGAGGGATATAATTGGGGAGGGGGGGGAGCGAAAAAAATTCTTAAATTATATTGTACTTTCTAAAAGAAGGCACAGCTACTTCTAAATGGTTAATACCAGGGATGAATATGGGGGCAGGGAGGAGGAGCTTATGTATAGACCTACAAATTAAACAAATTCTGGAGTTTTTTGGCATTTCCAGTGTTCCTTAATTTTCTTCCTCAGCACTCTATACACTCGCCACACTTAGGGTCTTGGTACAGAAACCGATCCTAACCCAACTGTCCATTAACCACCAAGTAACTTTCAGAGAACAAAGCTCCTGGGACTAGATCGCTCCGAAGACAGAGCCGCCTGGAAAATATCTTCACTCCAAAATGGGAAATCAAAATGAATGACAAGATTCAGACCAAATGTGCAGATTCTCTTCAGGATGGCTCTTGTTATTCCCCCTTTCTCCAAAGTGTCGTTCTCCCAAATGTTGAGTGTATAAATAGTGCGACCAGTTAGTGTTAAGACTGCTGACCTCATCCCAGGAGACTGCACACTAACAACTATTGGAGTATCCTTGTTTATAAGGAGGAACACAGAGGTAAGGTCAGGATGTGATCTTAAGTCATCAGATTTCCGTCTGGTTCTTAGGCCAACTGAGGCAATATAATGTACCAAAAGACATTCCTTCACTGCACAACTATTTATTAAATGCTGATGCTGTGCAGGTTTTAATCTGCCCCCAACTAACCATGTAACCAAGTTTTCTCATTTCTCTAGGCCTTGATCTCTTCAACCTTTAAAAGAAATATTTCACTGGTTTATCTCTAAAACTCTTTCCAACATTTTATGATAGCAAAGGAAAAATATACAGAGTTGAAGACCACCAGAATGGGCTACATTGCTACACTAAAGTAAAGAAACTTAAAGGACAAAATGACCATGATTTATTGAAGTTCAAATGGGGGGGGTGGGAGAGGGGGCTCGGGGAGACTGAGATTCAAGTGGGAAAATCAAGGACATCTGAGTGGTAGAAGATGAGGCATCTTATCTGATGCTTTGGTCAGAGTTGGTGGTACCCCAGGGTTGATGGACTCGTTGTTAAGAAGGTGCACCATTTTCTTCAAATCCTGTTTCTATGCTTCTAAGGCAGGAAAGGCAGTTTAAGAATTTCACAGACCTGTGCCATCTCTATCCCTGCTCCCCAACCTATGTGGCCCAGCAGCTGAAGGGTATGAGGGTTATAAAGCGGAGGGAGAGAAGGTTTGCTGAAAGTATCCTCTGCTTTGCTCTGAACGTATGGCTATGTGCTTGATATACAATGCCTCATTTATTTCTCACAGGATGAATCATCTCATAGGGAGGAAAACTAAGTCATCAAGAATTTAAGAAACCCATCCAAGATCACACGGCTTGTAAGTGGCAGAAACAAGAACTTTCACCCAGGAAAGCCTGGGCAGAAAGCTCCATCTGATTTTCTGTTTTGTGCACTGATTAGAATGTGGTGGGAGTAGTGGTGGCTGTGGTTATTTAACTCTGACTATACCAAAAAAAAAAAAACCCCACTGGATTTTACACTTTGACTGGGTGAACTTTACATATTAAGATTGTATCTCAAATGGTCTATCTTTTTAACAAAAATTTTAGGAAACTCTGAAAAAGGAACAAAAATAAGTGAAGAATTCTAGTTTCTTGAAGACTGAGAAGGCTTTAGTATTCTACGTGAAAAATATGAGTTCAAATATGAAAGTAGATACTTAGTCCTGTTCCCCCAGATAAATTCATTGATTTATTTTTGGTAGTATATATTAAGCATTTATTATATGTTACAAAGTTCAAATACAGTGGCAAACAGGATAAAGTTCTTGCCCCATGAAGTGTAAAACTACACTACTTAAAATATGCTTCTTCAAATTCTAAAATGAGTCTGGAGACCCTTGAATATGATCTAAGAAAGATACCAGATGATTAGAACCCCCAAAATATCTTCCTCCCTATTTTTCATTTCTGGAGTACTGGAACACTTGATATACTTCAAAAATAAAATGAACTATTCATTCTCTCACGCCCATCCCAACCAGACACTGAGATTCTAAGTAGATGCATAAATAGGGTGTGGCACTGTAGTCAACGCTAAGAGTAGGTAATGAAGAATCTTTATATCACCATAAGGGTAATGACTTTGGATATTCATGCCAGGTTCTGGGATTCTAACCAACAGTCTATTACAAAACCCAGAATAATATTTCTCCAGGCATATGGAAGAATGTTTGAATTTGCCACCAATTTGAAATACAAGACCTAATGCCTTGTTAAAAAATTAATACAGAAAAATCTTTAGGAAAGCACATTGGAAGGCACAAATACTCATTTCATGTATTAGACAGGGATAAATATCAAAAAATCT